CTGGGCGGGGTAGGTTTGAAGCACCTTTTCCCTGGTGCAAATGTGAAAATTGCGCAGACGGCGAAATTTATTGGAACCACCAAATTTTTCGAGTGCTTTTTAGCTGCGGCCTCTCGCTGCATAACATGAATAAGGTCTGAGAGAATACAAGAAAATGAATTCGTACAGAAAAAGTCAAGGGCATAGAAAATGGCCACGAGGACTAATCATCAGTGTAAGCCGGTTAAAACACTGCGGGAAGCAAAAGTGGGGAAACACGTTCGAGGCATAAATATGGGCAGGGAAATGTGTAAATCAGGGAGCCGGATGTTACCAAGGCAAAGTTAGGTTCACTGCGTGTAGCGAGAGGCCGCAGTTGAAGAGCACTCGCGAAATTTAGTGGTGTCGTTAAATTCTGTTGTCTCCAAACACAAGGTAAGTATTTGTCGACTGAACGAGACTTCATAAATCCACATAAAAATGTATCCCGTAGACTGTTATGGGATACTACACAGTCAAATAATGATACAGTAGTCGCCGGTTATTAAGTCCACCTCGGGCCCAGACCAAATTGGGCTTAATAAGCGGCTGGGCCTATTAACCGCGGGCTTAATAACCGGCGATTACTGTATTTATAAAAACGAAAAGGTACATCTTATTCTCCACCGCCACAAAATGACTGTTCGTGTTCACTTTCCTGTTAACAGTGACTGAAAAACATCCGAATCAGAGTAATAAACGGCGATAGATAACAAAAAAGTTATTCAGTTGGCCCAATTGTGAAAAATTCGCGGCCTCGGTGAGAGTCGAACCCACAGAGCAGGGAAGGCTTTTGCGCAGCCAACGCTCTACTATTGACCTACGAGGCTCACCTGGAGCCGTTAATTTAATCCCGCTTGGGTCAATTTACCCGCCCAACCTACTGCTCGTATAGAATCCACAATTACGGATACAGTAAGCTCACTGCCCAGGCAGGACTTCCTAAGCAATCATCCAGAATCCACCAGAATGACTGCTAGGCTCGCCTATTTATTAGTAGGGTTTGGCAGACGTCAATAATAATTCAGTTGACTCAGAGAAGAAGA